TTCATTTTGCCTTCTGGCTATTGTGAATAACGATGCTATGAACATGGGTATACTTGTTCTTAGTTGAGTTCCTATTTTTGATTCTTTTGAAAATATACTTAGAAGTGGAATTGTTGGATCATATAGTAATTCTGTTTTTTGAAAGGATGAACAAACTTGCCTTCCACAATATCTACACCATTGTATATTTCTACCAACAATAAACAAGTGTTCCAATTTTTCCACATCCTCACCAACACTTGTTATTTCCCCATTTTTCATAATAACCATTCTAATGGATGTGAAGTATTATGTCATTGTTGTTCATTCACTTTTTCCTAATCACTGGTGAGCTTAAGCATCTTTCCATGTCTTTATTGGCCATTTATTTATCTTTGGAGAAATGTGTTTGAGTACTATTTTAGCTACTTTATTCATTGCTGTGACCAAAAGACCTGACAAGAACCATGTAAGGTAAGAAAAGTTTATTTGGGGCTCACGATTTCAGAGATCTTAGTCCATACATGGCCAATTCTGTTGCTCTGGGCTGAAGGTGAGGTGGAACATCATGGCAGGAGGGTGTGGTAGAAGAAAGCAGCTCAGCTCATGGCAACCAGAAAGCAGAGAGAGTGCCCCTCATCATCCAGGGACCACCTCCTCCAGTCACACCCTACTTGCTTGTGGTTACCACCCAGTTAATCCCTATCAGTGGTTTAAGTGCTGATTAGGTTAAAGCTCTCATAAGCTAATCATTTCACCTCTGAATGCTCTTGCATATTCTCACACATGGGTTTTCTGGGGACACCTAATATCCAAATCATAATAAGTATTTTGCTTATTTTTTAATTAGGTTGTTTGTTTTTGTTGTTGTTGAGGTGTAGGAATTTTTATGTATTATGAATATTAAACCCTTATCATCTGTACAATTTTCAATATTTTCCTTATTCTGTGAGTTGTCTTCTTATTCTCTTTACAGTGTCCTTTGATGTATAAAAGTTCATAAAAATTAATTTTTATGAACTCATATTTATCTTTTTTCTTTTATTGCCTTGCTTTTGGTGTCACATCAATGAAATCATTGCCAAAGCCAATGTTATAAAGATTTTTCCAAATTCTGTCTAAAAATTTTATATTTTTAGCTTTCATGTTTAGATCTTTGATCTTTTTTGACTTGATTTTTGTATATGGTATAAGGTTAGAGTCCAATTTTATCCTTTTGACTGTGGACTTTTTGTTTCCCTCATACCATTTGTTGAAAAGAGCATACTTTCCTCATTGAATGGTCTTGATGCCCTTATGAAAATCAATTGACTGCATTTGCAAGGAGGGTTTATTTGTGGACTGTATAACATTCCATTGGTTTACATATTTATATTTATGCCAGTACTATGCTATTTTCACTACTATTGTTTTGTAGTAAGTTTTGAAATAAGAAAGTATGAGACTTCAAACTTCATTTTTGTTTTTCAAGATTGATTTGGCTATTTGGCTTTAAGATTCCATGTGAATTTTATGGTAGATTTTAATATTTCTGTAAAAAATTCCATTGGTATTCTGATATGGAATATTTTCAATCTGCAAATTATTTTGGGTGATCTTATAATCTTAACAACATTAAGTCTTCCAGTCAATGAACATAGCTGTTTTTCCATTTAGTTATGTCTTCTCTGTTTTCCTTCAGTAGCATCTTTGTAATTTTCAACATAGAAATCTTTGTCTCCTTAGCTACATTTATTTTTAAGAATAAGTATGAAATTATAGGCCAATCTTGCTCATTGTAGAGATTTAAAAATTATAAAAAGAATATGTTCAACCAAATATTTATACACAAATGTTCATAGCAGCATTTTCCATAACCAGAAAATGAAAATGACCTACACTTTCATCAACTGGTTAATTCCATATGATAGAAGTTTATACAGCCATAAAAAGAAATGAAGTATTGATTCCTGAAACAATGTGATTTATCCTTGAAAACAATATGCTGAATAAAAGAAGTCAATTACAAAAGGCCACATATTGTATGATTCCATTTATATGAAATGTTTAGTTTGGCAAATATATATAGAGATTGAAATTAAATTAATGTGGTGACCTAAAGCTGGAGAAGATGAAGTATATTATTACCAATATTCTCAGAGGAATGAGCTTTATAACCATAAACCAGGAGAACCTATTAAATCAGGTGAGTACATGCACTAATTAAAGGAGGAAATGATACTGTTATCTTACTAGATGCAGAAAAAAAGCATTTGAGAGAACTGTTCATAAAAATAATCTATTAGTAAACAAGGAATAGGACTTTTCCTACATCTCATAAAAAGGAGTCTTATAGAATCTATAGTAGGTATCATACTCAATGATTAAATACTAAAAATCTTTCCTTTAAAATCAGATGCAAAACAAGGATGACCTTTTTTGTGGTGCTAGGGGTGGAACCCATGGCCTGATAAAAACTAGCCAAGTGTTGTATCCCTGAGCTACACCTCATCCCAAGGAAAACCTCTTCAACTACTTCCATTCAGCATTGTATATGATAGAGAATAAATTAAAGAACCAAAAGGAAAAATAATTAGAAAGGAAGAAGACTAACAATGATTATTCATAGATAAAGCAATTGTCTACCCAGAGAACCCAAAATAACCTACTTAGGATAAAGCAATTAATTAAATCATAAATAAAGTAATTAACAAAATGATTAGAATTAATGAAATATAAAAGTTGATAGATATAGAATCAATACACAAAAGACAATTGAATGTCTATACAGTGGTAAGAAACAGAAAATTGGATTTAAACAAAATCTACCACCAGGTGTGGTGGCACACTCCTGTAATCCCAGTGGCTCCAGAGGCTGAGGTGGGAGGATCACATGTTCAAAGCCAGCCTCAGCAATGGCGAGGCCCTAAGCAACTCAGTGAGACCCTGTCTCTAAGTAAAATACAAAATAGACCTGAGGATGTGGCTCAGTGGTTGAGTGGCCCTGAGTTCAATTCCCAGTACCAAAAAAAAAAAAAATTCTACCATTTACAATAATAACAAATTATAGGTATTTTTAGATAAATCTAAGAAGAGATCAGTGAACAACGTTATAAGCAAAAACATTAAAACTTTATTGGGGGCTGGGGTTGTGGCTCAGCGGTAGAGTGCTCGCCTAGCATGTGCAAGGCCCTGGGTTCAATCCTCAGCACCACATAAAAATAAATAAAACAAAGGTATTGTGTCCATCTACAACTAAAAAATAAATATTTTTTAAAAAACTTCATTGAAAGACTTCAAGGATACTTAAATAAATGGAAAGATAGGCCATGTTCCAGAACAAGAAGATTTAAATATTAAAGACATTATCATATCAAATCCCTAACAGCAGTTTTTGAGAAAATTTAAAGCTGATTTAAAAATGTGTATGTAAAGGGTGATGATTACACAAGACATTCTAGAAGAACAAAATGGATGGAATTTGTCCTGCTCATTAACATCAACAATGATTAACACAAAGTAGGCCTGGCACAAGGATGAATAAGAAAAATGCAAATACTTCAGCACAAAAGCCAAAAACAAACAAAATGAAGCCCAAAATAAAACAGGCAATTCACAGAGGAGAAAATAATAAATTGCCCTTCAACAAATGAAAACATGCCCAAGCTACTTAATAATCAGGGAAATGGAAAAAAAATCAAATCACCATTAGGTATTACTTCACCCACCTCAGACTGGAAAAAGGTTAAAACAGCACTGACAATACCAAATATTTGCCAGGATGGGAAGCAAAAGAGTTTCTTATATACTCCTGGCACCCATGCAAATTGGTGTATCTGCAATCACTCTGGAAAGTAGGTGGGTTTTTTTTTTTTTTTTTGTATTTAATAAGGTTGAAGATGAGTACATCCTATAACCCAGCAATTCTATTCCTGGGTGAATGTCCAAGACTCTCCCACGGGTGCAGAAATGCTCATGGTGACATTGCTTGCAATAGCTCCCAAACTGGGAGCAACTCAAGTATATTTTGGAAGCAGAATGATTAAATAAATCATGCAATGAAATAATCTGTCCTGGTGGAAATGAGTGCAGTGGAGCTAATGCATCGACATGGTTGAGTGTGGACTATATAATTTTGAGCAAAAATTGAAGCCACTGGACATACATAAGGGGCTGGGATTGTAGCTCAGTGGAAGAGTGCTTGCCTAGCATGTGTGAGGACCTGGGTTTGATTCTCAGCACCACATAAAAATAAATAAAATAAAGGTCCATTGACAACTAAAATATTTTTTAAAAAATACATGATAAGGGGCTGAGGCTGTAGCTCAGTGGTAAAGTCCTTGCCTCGCATTTGTGAGACACTGAGTTTGATCCTCAGCACCACATAAAAATAAATAAAGATACTGTGTGTTCATATACAATTAAAAATATACATAAAATATTTTCAAAAAAATACATGATAAGATTCTATTGATAAGATATTCAAAAACAGGAGAAGCTGGACAGTGTGTTAAGGATACTTGCTTGCTCATCAAACTACACTTTGAAAGAAAAGAAGTTGTAAACATAAAATTCACGATAGTGCTTTGCCTGTAGTGGGGAGAAGAGGAAATGGTAGAGGGGAGAGTCACTTCCCTACTATGCTGCTTCTGAAGCTTGGTGGTGAGTTTCACTATAACTGTTTCTTTGAATTGTATAAAGTACCTTTAAATGTATTTGGGATACTTTTACTGGAAGTTTAATAAGTGTAGTTGATCTTATCAAGAGTTAATCCCCAAAATATCATGAGCCTATCAGATCCATAAAGTGAATTCTTTTATGAGGGAATTTTGGCAAACCATTTCCAATAATTATATGGTTTCATATTAAGGCTGAATGGCTATATTGTGTTTGAAATGCCAACTCTCACTCATGTGCAGACAGATTTGTTCAGGTCTTATCAGACCACTCTCTTGTGATCTGGTGGCAGCTACTTGGATGGAGCCACAACTTACCTTCCTCTCTTGACTCATTAACCAGAGTCCTGTAATGTTGTTTCCTAGGAGGAGCACCAAACAGCCAACTCCCTGAGCAGTGGTGCTCTTACCTGGACAAAGAAGTTCAGCCTGGATTATTTGGCCCTGGACTTTAATTCAGCATCATCAGCCCCTGTACAGCAGGTAGGAAGAATTTTATGTCTGAGAATTCCCAGAGAACCTCATTTCTGCTTAGATTTTTCTGATGGCCAAACCATGTGTGTTGTCTTTAGGAGGTCTTAGAAATACAGATGTGTGGGCTGGGGATGTGGCTCAAGTGGTAACGTGCTTGCCCGGCATGCACGGGGCGCTGGGTTTGATCCTCAGCACCACATAAAAATAAAATAAAGATGTTGTGTCCACTAAAAAGTAAATATTAAAAAAGGAATACAGATGTATAATGAAAAATATTGAAAGAACCTTAAACCTTCCTTCCAGAGAGAATGGAATCCTAGTGTATTTCTTTCTAGAGCATGTTCTTTGTGTGCATGTGTGTAAACAGATGTTATATTCATGCTTTTCTAGGATTCATACCCTAGTAGTTATAGAAAATTCATAAGACACAGAGGAGGATGGGCCAGGCATAGCAAGGGCCTGTTTAAGGAACAAGTAACAGGCTAGTATGGCTAGACTTTATGCAGTGATAAAAGGAGCTGTAGTTGACATGGAACCCCTCAGTAAAGGGCCTTGAATTGCCAGGTTGGACTGTTTCAAATCCTTCGGATAGTATTTTCATCTGTAAATTAGGAATCAGAAATAATAACATCTACAATGAGAGCTATTAGGAGGATTGATTGATTAATACCCATAAGTGATCCTAGCCATTAAATAATATACACTTCACAGTTTGAGTCATGGAATGAACTAACAGTGATAGATTGGCAACTAATATATTTGAGTGAGGGATGATCATAATCCCATAATGTGTCTAACAATGTATTATTTGGTGAAAAAAAGCAGCTCACTGAACAGAAAGTACAATATGATTCTCTCTCTCTCTCTCTCTCTTTCTCTCTCTCTCTCTCTCTGTGTGTGTGTGTGTGTGTGTGTGTGTGTAAGGAAAAACAACTCTGGAAGACCTCCTTCCCCTTTTGCTGAATGAATACCTACTTTTCCACATTTAATATCATTCCAAAAACCTGAACAGATACACAAGAAAAGTTGGTCAGAAGGGTGGGAGCAACAAGTACAAAACGCATGTTAGTCAGTTTAGGCAGAGTAAACAACCCTCAAATTTCAGGTACACACAGGATCAAAGGTTCTTTCAGTTGTTACTCATTAGAAAGCCTATTTCAGGCAGGGATATTGTGTTCCAGGTCATCTACAATACAGGGCTTCTGGCAGAGGAAAAAAAAAAAAAAGAGAGAAATTAGAGAATCCCAGAATGCTTTTCTTCTCCTTAGGATTGGCATGTGTCAACTCTATTCGGATTCTATTTGTCCAACCAAATGGCTAAAGTTAAGAGATGTTCACACACATACATCTAGAACATAATGTTTCTGCAGGAAGAGGGAGTAAATAGTACAGTAAAGATTACAGTATAACCTACCACAGAAAGGTAGGCACTATCCTGATTTTTCAAAATTAGATGTAATGAAAACTTTTTGTCCTTCTTCAGAAACTTCTTCTTTCAGAAGAGCAAAGAGTAGACTATGTCCAAGTGGATGAGCAGAAGACACAAGCTCTCCAGAACACCAAGCAGGAGTGGACGGATGAAAGGCAATCCAAAGTGTGAGATGTGTGGGTCTGGGCCAGGTGTGAAACTGGGAAGCTTGGGGTTCAGTTTGTATTTTTTTTTCACTAAAAACACACCAATGGTCAACACAGGTCAAAACCAAGAGAGAATGTGTAGTTTCTGTGGTATTGGCGAGAACTTTTAGGAGGAAAGGATCTGTTTATGCATTGGATGGAAAGGAGAAGCCAGCAGTTTCCTCTCAAGCAGGTATGAAGAGGGCCAACCCACACCCCTTTACCCCCACTTCCAGAGCCTGTGACAGAAGGTCATTTCTCCAGCCTCAGAGATGCTTGCAATGGTTCCACCGTCACAAAAGGAAGAGATGAAGGGTTCCACAACCACAGACTGAGATGTAAAAAATGCCATTAATTCAGGAATGGTAAGAGCAATAAAAACAAGACTTTAGAGAACATTTTTCCAAATATTCTGTTACAAAATTTTCAAATGGAGTATTTGGAGCAAAGATTGGAGCCGGTATTACCGCCAACAGGCTGACATTGTTTGCCTCCAATACCTGAAATTTTGTCTGGTATCCTGTGCTTTGATCAGAACCAAATTATTCTAGTAAAGTGTACCCTGAAGACCATTTTGTCATAGCCCTTGAAGACACAGTTGAGATCAAGCTCAGCAATGGTCACAGAATTTACACCCCTTACTCTTACGACTCTATCAGATCAATCATTTCTGTCCCTAAAGAGATACAATTTGAGTGATGGGCAATGGATCCCAGGCTCCATGATGAACAGCATATCTGATGACACTGGTGGCTATAAAGACATTTGTGTTTAAGCTGCTATTCCATTGCTGTTGGCATTTTCCCAGCATGCTTTCTTATGTATCATCTCATCCCTTCCTTTAAAAGGCCCCAGAAGCTATGCATGGCAGAATCTGTTGCTACTGCCACTTTGAAGAGAAGAAAACTGAGAACTAGAGAAGGGAACACATTGACCAAGATCACTCATGGGGCTAAGATACAGAGTCAAGCTTAGAGTTGTCCAGGCTGCCAATTGCAAACTCATTCCACTATCTTATACTACCTCTGAGGAAATTGACAAAACTGATCATTTGGGGGAACACCTGCAGACAAAAGATGAGCCATCGTCCATCCCCTCTTCCTTTCATAGAGATCTGAGCAAGTGCTCTGATTCTTAAAAGGTATACATGTCCAGGGAGGGGTTCTTTTTGCAATGTTCAATTGAAACTCTACATTTTCAGTAGTTACAATTAGAAATACCTCCTGATGATCTGTCTGAAATTTTGGCCAATTTTCCCTTCTGATTGAAAAATGACAGATCCTGAGACTTTGAACACTCCATAAAATGGGGGCATTGTATCATCTCATCCTCGGTGGATAATGGACCCAGGGAGCCCAGAATGAGGGTCTCAGTTGGGCATGGAATTTTATTTAATACCCCTTCTTAATCCTTCTGAGAATCTAGAGCCATAATACATATCTGAACAATGAGGAACTAAACAGATACTGTATAAGGATTGATCAAATAGGAAGCAAACACACTGCAGTTGGTGCAGTTGTAGGCTTTACCACAGGATTTCAGGGTTTCAACTGACTGAACGGTAAGAAAATATGTAAGTCTTGTTTTTTCAGACCATACAAGAAGTCACTTTGATTTTCATAGCAGTAGATTCTGGTGGCATCATTTTCCTTGTGTTGTAAAGCAGGGAAAATTGCCAAGTACTTTAAATTGAGACCAGGGTCCTTAATGAACCTAGACAAAGCAAGGAGAAGGCTCCCCAGTCCTTGCATCTTACAGCCACCTCCATATCACAACAAAACATAGGCCAGAGCCTGAAAGGAGCTGCCTTCTTCCTCATGTGTCTGACAAAAAAAATCACAGAGTTGCAGGAAAAGAACCAGGGCTACAGATTGCCATTTCCTGTAGATGGTAGCTTTATGGGGTGGGGGGGGAGATTGTGTTTGGATCTTTAATTACCTGGAAAAAGACTGCTACAGAAAAATCGTAGCCCTGGGGGTCAAGAATGACACCAGATTGAAGAAGAAAAACTACAGCTGAAATTATGTCAGTAGTGAAATATCATTGAATTGGTGACAGAAAGGAAGAAAAAAGAAATCTCTTTTCTACAAAGCATTTCCAAGAATGTATTTATAACATGAAGCAATATACACAAGAGTAGTATGACTTGTTTGGATGTGATTAATTAAAAACAAGAATGCTCCGAATAGGTGCTCTCTATGTTAAAGGTTGACACCATTCATCATTTCCAGGGTATATGCAATTATGTCCTGCTTTGACAAAACTACTAAAGGATGGCTATGCAAAAATCATGATGATGCAGGCAAAGAAAGTACAGGTAGTTTTTGAGCTGACAGCAGCATATGCTCCTGAGGAAGGCACCATTAAGTCAAAACGGTGCCAGCCAAATGTTGTTTTCTGGTGGAGACAGTTTATATATATATATGTAAGACAGGGCTGTGTTTCTGACCAAGGGCCGGGGGTTTGTTACACAATGATAGCAGAAACCATTATGGTATGTCTTTACACTGAACAGTAGATCTTTCCTGAAAGGCTCTGGAATCAATATAACAGGGCAACACAGCAATTAATCCCTCATTTCTATTAGCTTCTGTTTCTTTCATTTACAGTGTATGATGGAAAACAGAAGGGTCTCAACCCTGAAATCACAAACCCAGGAATAGAGGGAGTTAAGCATTCCTTGGGGAGGGAGGAACCCTGAGGCCCAGCACACAGCCTGGATATAAAAGCACAGAGCTATCCAGTTAGTGTCACTGTATAGGCCATTTCATGGAGCAAGGATCAGCTGAATCATTATGATGTATAGGTCCATGTTCAGACTGAAGGCTCCCCTCAGGCCTGCCTTTCTCCTCCTTGCTCCCTGTTTATACCAACTTTGTACCTACAATCACACAGATTTTTCAAATTCATTCTGCTCTTACTGTTTAATTTCTGGCATTAATAAAGTCTTATACGGAGAAATCACATCTTAAGTTCTCTTTTGTTTTAAGTGATAACATCAGATATAAGTAAGGAACACATTTAGGAAGCTGAGTATTTGAAAATAGGCTTCATCACCATTTTATCGAGTACAACAAACTTAACTAGATTCATGTGCAATGTATGTTATCTTGTTATAAACAGTTGAGCAGATGGCTGTCATTAATACTGCTTCTGCTCAGTTCAAACCACATCTTGACATCTTTTTTGTCAGAAACTAGTTTCAATATTTGACAGTAAATTCAACTGCTCTCCCTAACACAATGTATAACATGACCTTATCATTATATAACAAAAGCAACAGCCTTAGGCCCACCTCTCCCCAGCAGGGTTCTTTGTGCAATCACCTCCCTTTTCTCTGTGGCTGATGCTCCCAGCAGCCCTGGATGCTAGATTAGTGGCATCTCTAGGCTGTGAAGAAAGGTGGGGATGACCAAACCAAGACAGTAAGGGTAAGCTCAGGATTGGATGAAACAGGTACATGAGAGAGTACTTTCTGGAATAATGAAATGAAATGTTCTTAATCACAGTGGTTATATGATTGTATACATATGCAAAAATGTATCAACCCATAAATTTAATATTTGTACACTCACTATATGTAAATTACACCCCAACAAACCAATTATCTTGAAGGGAAAAAAACTCCAGGGGCATTATTAAGTTAATGTAAGAAACATGACTATAAAAAGTATTATAAGTTACAGGAAAACTTACTACCTTGGATGTGGAATACCTTTAGCAGCAAGGCACAAAAGGCAGAATAAATATTTATGTCCATTCACAATTCCATTAAATTCGACAAATTTTAGAGACAGGTATGTGGTAGGCACTTGGGATACAAGAGTAAGTAAAATAAAGGTCTTTCATTAAGAAACTTACATTCTGACAGAAGGTAGTGGGCAATGTTGGTGCTCCACTCAAACTTTCTAGGACCCCTTTTTCTGTTTGGTGTAATCCTTCCAAGCCTCATTTTGCTCCTGATTCTAACAGCCCACACTCCTAGAAATGCTTGAGTAGAGAACTAGAAGTGCCTCAGAATTGAGTCCCCTTACCTTCCCAATTGAAGGGTGCAACATTACCAAATCATAACTCCTTTATCTCATGTTAAACCTTTCCTCCCTCTGAGATTTCACCCTCACTTGGATTCTTCCTCTTCCTTATTCTGATTCTCCCATAATTGTGCTTCAGCTTTTAAGGACCCAATTTTAGTACATGGTCTTCCTTAAAAATGGTAGCAATAATTTTTCTTATTATTCTTGCTTTTCCAGAATTTAGGTACTCTCTATTAAGAAGTGGATTGTAGCTGGGAACAATGGTGCACACCTGCAATTCCATGCTGAGGCTCGAGGATTACAAGTTTGAGGCTAGCCTGGGAAATTTAGTGAGACCCTTCTCACTAAAAAAAATCCTAAAAATTAAAATGGGGATGTATCTCAGTGGTAGAGTGCCCCTGCATTCAATCCCCAGTACCACTAAAAGAAATAAAAATAAAAGAAGTGGAATCTGTGTCCCCTACTCTGGAAATTGGGTAGGACATCAGAAGGGACCCTGACTTCTTTTTTTTATATTTTAAATACAATATTTTAAATTTATTTTTAATTGGTACATAACAATATGCACTTTATAAACATTAATGAACAAACATGATGTTTATATATATATATATATATATATGTGTGTGTGTGTGTTTATATATATGTGTTTATATATAAAATAACATTTAAATTATGTCTAAACATAAATAAACATGAATTTATATATAAAATAACATTTAAATTATGTCTAAACAAGTTATGTCTAAAATATTTCTATACATTTATCTCTTTTTAAAGTAAAAACTTCAATTTTTTTTTTGTTTTTGGGTGGTAACATCCTTAACGTGATTTTTTTTATTGGTTGTTCAAAACATTACAAAGCTCTTGACATATCATATTTCATACATTAGAATCAAGTGGGTTATGAACTCCCATTTTTACCCCAAATGCAGATTGCAGAATCACATCGGTTACACATCCACATTTTTACATAATGCCCTATTAGTAACTGTTGTATTCTGCTACCTTTCCTATCCTCTACTATCCCCCCTCCCCTCCCCTCCCATCTTCTCTCTCTACCCCATCTACTGTATTTCATTTCTCTCCTTGTTTATATTCCCATTCCCCTCACAACCTCTTATATGTAATTTTGTATAGCAATGAGGTTCTCCCTCCATTTCCATGCAACTTCCCTTTTCTCTCCCTTTCCCTCCCACCTCATGTCTCTGTTTAATGTTCATCTTTTCTTCCTGCTCTTCCTCCCTGCTCTGTTCATAGTTGCTCTCATT